TCTTTTATAATTTTTTTCTGCAACTGTTTTTAAGCTTGTATTATCTGTTTTTTTTCCAACAGTATTCTATATCTAGCATTAAAAAACTGTCGCTAGAAATATATCCATATTGAAAAGTTTTTCTTTCTAGTTTTTGCATTGATTTTTTTCTCTAGGTCAGTTTCAATTTCAAGCATTCCTTTCATTCCAGGAGAGTTCCACTCTTGGAGTGAAAAATCACATGCACTACCCCAGTTATTTAGCATATAAAACCAAAAAAATACTTTCTTGTATCATACTTTTTGATTTTGTATATTCAGTTTGATGTTGGCTACAACATTTATAATGGTTGCATTGTACCTGCTATAGTTTTTAGAAGGTATTGCAATTATTGCATAAAGTTTCCATTTTAATTTAATTTATTATTCCCAGTGTATTTTAAAAAGTATTTTATTTTTAAGATAAACATGTAGTATAAACTTGTAGTAAACACGTATAATAAAGTAAATGGTATTGCTTTTAGGATATAAAACAATTTAATAATTTAATGCTGTTTCATATTGTAAACGTTTGATTTTCTTATTCGCATGCCACATGAAATCCCTTATCATTTATCTTTACAGTAATCTTACATGTAGCTAGGTTTATACTTTTATCAATTAAAAAACACTTCTAGAAACCTCTCAGGATTGATTAATTCTGAAGCCATTTTTTTTAAAAACTATGGAAAGCAAAATAAATGACAATTAACCATTATATAGCACTACAATTAACTTACATTTAAAAAATAAAAACAAAAATACTATTACTTTTAAATAACTAACCCATGGAATCACTACCAAAAAAAAAGTCTTTTATTAATAGTGAAATTAATGCATTATTTTGGTGTATATTTTTTTAAATTCAATTTAAAAACTTTATTATTCATTGATTATTTATAGTCTAATTTTGATTAACTAATTAAAATCAACACATAACTTTATGGCAACTTACACAAACATAAATATTGCTAATAATTATATTAGCTAAAAAAAAGTAAAAACAAAAAAAAAGCAAAAAAAATAATTTTAAAGATAATATAAGTAATTAAAAAATATATGAACAGAAAGTTTGTCGAGCATAAGATCATTTCTCAAAAGCTTTTTCATAATCCAGGTGTGAATCATTGCCATTAAATATGAGATCTGCTCAAGAGTTTCCAATAAACTGGTAATAAATGATTTATCGGGAACAAATTTGTGCTGATTTTGAAATAAAAGAATATTATCAAATAGATACTCAGTTAAACAATATTTTACAATACACTCTAGAAAAAGGCAACAGGCAAAAGTTAAAGAAATGATAAGTTTGAGGTATCAAAGTTAGATCCTTTTTTGTGAAGAGGTGAGATGTTATCTTCCAGCCAAACATCTGGGACCCTCGGAATTAACTAACTGCCGATCTGAAAGAGTTTTAGGTCGGCAAAAAATTGTCAACCTCGTTTCTATGTTTTATGGTCAGACCTTTGTATCATATAATTTTTGCCGACCTGATGCCAACCACAAAAAGATTGAAATCAGCAAATTATTGCAGACCGCATTTTTTCTAATTCCAAGAGTTGGGGACTAGATCTTCAGTAAATAGATTTTATAAATATATAAGTTTTAGGCACATTTAGAGATGAAGAAAATTTGATTGAGTTAATGCTGTCTTTTTAACTTTAAGTTTCATGTTTATGTTATTGATATGATAAATAAGTTTAGGATTTGTTTTGGTTTTTTCTGATATAGATTTTTATATTGAGTAATAGAACAAAAAAGAGTTTTTTTACTTTTTTGCAGCAATTATTGTATTGTTTAGTGTCTAAACACCATAATTTTGTATTGCAGACATTCTTTTGTAATCCAAGATGCAAAACAGAAAAAATAGACTTTATTCCTGGTATTTGAAGATTTGATCCCTCAATATAGATAGATTGTAATGTTTCATAACTTTAATCAATATATAAATTTCATAAACAATTACCCAATCAATATTATTGAATATATTAAAATCTCAATACACTTTTTTAACACTCTTTGAAAGATTAAGCTCTGTTAATAAGTGAGAAACTAAATGTGGGATCTTTAGGAGGTCAAATTTCTAAAACAATAAAATATATACTTAAAAAAAAAAAAAAAAAAAAAACTAATAAAGGTTTCACTCTTTATAGAAAAATATATACCCTTAATATGCAGTTAGAACCTTGTCTTAGTGAAATAGTCATTATAACAATTTTTTAGTGAAATAGTCATTATGACAATTTCTTAGTGAAATTTATGGTTTGAACTGCTGTTTAAACAATAGTTATTAACACAGTTTTTTTTTTAATTTTAAGATTAGAACAGTTAGCAACTTTTAAGTTTTGCAATGGAAACAATTATGTAATAAACAGTAATTAGTATACTATGTAACAAGGTTCTAACAATCATTATATTACATTAAAAAACAGTACAGGGGGATTCTTAAATTTCAATTTTACCTAAAAAATATAAATGAGGATAGGTTAAAATCAGGAAAATAATAGGAGATGTCCCTCGGATCATTGGTTGAAATATAATGAACTGACCCTATATGTATGTGTATTAGAATTATTATGTCCTTAAACACTTCACTTATGTCTTTGTTTAACCAAACAACTTTTTACATCTCTGTTTCATTTTATGTCTCTTTAGATACTCTAAAATATAATTAACAATACTATTAGGAATTAAACAATGTCTATTAGGAATTAAACAATGTCTATTAGGAATTAAACAATTTACTAAGGTTTTTACTTAAACTAACACTAAATAAAGAGTATAACAAACTTGTGTTATTTAAACAGAAAGTTAATAAGCAAGCATTGCACAAAAGTAATGCTGGAAAGCAACCAATGATATGGACTTACATGAGCAACTGACACAATAATATGGACTTATATGAGCAACTGGCACAATGATATGGACTTAAAAGAGCAACTGACACAATGATATGGACTTACATGAGCAACTGACACAATGATATGGACTTGAATGAACAACTTACACAATAAAATGGATTTATATGAGCAAATGACACAATGATATGAACTTATATAAGCAACTGACACAATGATATGGACTTACATGAGCAACTGATAGTAAGCGGCAGGGGCCCCGGTTAAAATGAGATATTTTGCAAACCCTGGCATAGACCCGGCAAAATTATAAGAGGGAATTAGCAAGGGTTGACAGAAGGCTAGAAAAAAGTTTATAACACTTTTTTAATAATAATTTTATATTTACATTTACTATTTATTAAATACAGGCATATATCTATACATTTTTAAACTCTACTTTACTTTCAACAAGATTGCAAGCAGCCACTATTAAGTTATGAGTTACTTTAAAATAGAGGACAGGTTAAAATACTAGAAAATAGTTAACTAAAGACCATAAAAGTTGCAGATGTAATAAAAACGAAAACAGATGAAAATGGGGAAGAGTTAAAAGGCTTTTTTGACGGATAAAAAACTGAATTAATAAAAGTTTTTATAGCATGAAGATACATGCAGTTAAAGGGGGCAACTTGTTGAATAAAAAGCCAAGTAAAAATGAGTTTTGGTAAAACGAAATAGTGATGACAGCTCATTTGAACCTTGACTATGATAGTATTTGTAGAAAAAAGAAAGAAATGCTACATTACAACAATGGAAGAGTGGTTCAAGCTGTTACAGAAGAGATTAGATTAAAAACCGGCTGCTTGTTCTAAGCAACCAAATGTGAAGATTTTTTGTCAAGACAAGAGTATAAAGTTAAGTTCTTTGCTATTAGAAGTACACTTGATATAAAATTTTTATGAAGATTGTTATTGTAGATAAGAAACATTACATAAAGTATAGACCTTCAAGAATAGCTTTAGTAATTTATTATATTAATAAAAAAAAAAATGTATTAATCTAGAAACCTTTAACCTATAAACCATAAAGAAACTTAGATAGTTAGAGATGTCAAAGTATTTAGAGTTTTGAAAAACTGGAGTGACTTATTTAGCACTTTTCAAAAGTCTAGCAAAAGTTGAAGAGAGTTCTGAAGAACAATTTTTTAAGACTATGATGGATATCTTGTCTGGATCACAAGCTGTAAAAGTGTTCAAATAAGGATTAACTTTGGCATTAGAAGCCATAGTGATTCTAATGTTTAACAATCGGTAATCTGTTTTACTGCCAGGAAGAGTGTGGCCATTAGATTCAAGAGCTGAATTAGAAGAACATTTTTGCAAAAAACTCTGCCTCATTCTGGGGAAAAGTAAAAAGTTAGACCCATAAATTAGAGATTAAATGTTAGACTTATTTTAGTTAATGACACTGTTGAAGACTTACCAAAAGTCTCTAGATCCCAACACCTAACATAAGATACAAGATTTAGTAAAATGAGAATAACAGAGCTTAACATCAGATAGGACCTTTTTACATTGGTCGTGATCATGCTTATCATTACCATCATGATCATGATCATGATTGTAATGATGATTATGATGATCATGTTGATCATAATGATGTTTATATATGCGTATATGTACATAAATTTTGAATTAAAAAAATATACTTTAGGATGTGTAATTGTTTATGCAGCCCTATTCACAAACCCAGCCCTGGCTATATTTTATCAAACCTGGCCCTGGCCCTGGTCAAATATCAACCCCGATTGTTTATCCGCACCTGACACAATGATATGAAAGGAAAATATTTATTTAATAAAACTGAGCTATTATAAAACTAGATGATTAAGAAAAAAAGTTAAAACTTATAAATTTTAAATTTTATAAAGAGTATAAAGTAAAAAAAAATTATATTAATTGATATCATGCTTTTATTATATTATGTTATTATTATATTAATTTATTTCGTACTTTTTAAGTGTTTCTAAATTGTTAATTGTTTTGGAATCTAGTAAATGTTGAGTAATTTTAAAAAAAGCATACTTTACCTCTTATAAATAAAAAAAAAAGAATAATAATTAAAAAATATATATTATAATTACCTTTCTTGTCAGAAATTACGAAATTTGTTTCTGATGAACTTGATGCCTCTAAATGATTTTAAAAATTTATTATTACTAATCAGGGTTGGGATTAATTGCATTTAATCAAATACAACCATGTTGTTTCTAAACTTATTTTAAATCCCAATTATAAATTTAATCAGAGATGTAATGCGAATACAAATATTTATATTTTAGAAAATATGCAAATAAATTGAACTTAATGCTTTAATTTTTTAAAACTAGTGATCAATTTTAATTAAGTTTATTTATTACATAATTTTTTTATCAGCTAATTTTTGTTCATTTAAACATGTTTGTTCTTATTTTAAGGAACAAAGTTCATAAAAACTACAATAAAATAAAAAAGACTTAAGTTACAAGAAATGTTACTTTGATTAATTTTTGTTTCATTGTTAATTTATTTTCATTTTTAATTTTCATTTTCTATTTTTGAATATTCTTTTTTAATTTTTATTTTTAACTTAATATGAAGGAATTGAAGAACAATTACTGAACATATTTAATGAATAATTAAAGAACTCGTAAGAAAATACTGATAAGATTAGTATGAGGGTTTCTCAAACGTGATCCCGGAATCCCTTTTTCCAAGGATCCTAGTGGTGAAAAATGATTCTGCTATCCCGAGATTTCAATAAAATTGATTCAAAGCACAGATAGTATTCAGTACACTATTTAATAGTCCAAGCTATTGCCTTATTATTATTGATAAGGCCTACGCCATAACAAAGGGCTCCAAAAGTGGCCTTGACAATGCACACCAAAAGTACAAACAGGGACACCATCCATGCACAGCATGGCACAGTTGTACTCTAATACTTAACAGCTGTTGACGGAATCTGCTTCAATGACAGCAACCACAGAATTTGAGAAACCTGACTATCGTCATGTTTAAGAAATAAAAAACTAAATTTTAGAGCTGTACTCTCATTAGGACATAATAGAATGAGTTGTTAAAATATGATTTTAATATTATATTATATTATTATTATTTTTTTTTTTTTGCTAACAAACTTATAATAAAACAAAGAACACGGTTTTGAAGAAACTAAAATTTTGAAAACCAGATATTTTTCCAGATTTTGCAAATCATAAATCGCCTAATTCAACCCATGATGTATTATAAATACATTTACGCCAACCTAATAACCTATGAAGAAGGAGTGCAAAGCTGATCAATACATAAAATTTGCTTATCCTTTAAGTCTTTGCCTAGAAGGCCTACTACAAGACAGTAGCCAGATTCATTTAACGTCTGTTCAAGATGAGTATTTTTATAGAGGCGCTGTCTCTAGCCTTTACTCAACCAAGAGCCCCAAGACAGGGAGTGTTTTTCAAGTCAGAGTTGCCTTCTGCTAGCGTTTACCTAAAAAAGCATATCTTACAAGACAGCAGGACATGAAGCATGTATTACTGGGTCACATGTTACTAGCAGCAGAATAAACAGACTTGACGTTAAATATTGAAAGTATTTTTTTATATAAAATGTTTCACCAATTTTTGAAAGAATACCAACTTATGATGTATCTTCATAATCTTGTAATAGTTTTAAGGCAACAATATTAAAACAATTTCTTAACATAATATGTAATAAACAAGCAAATTGTTGTACAACAGTCATTTAATGATTCCATTCAATTAAAATGAGATGTTTTTGAAACTATTACGTGAATATGTAATAGACTTGATTTCTGTCACATGTTCTTTTTTAGTTTCACAAAAAATTTTATCTCTAAAGACTTTTTTACTTGATTGTATTGACAATCATTTCAATCACTCTATCCCGGTGTTCACTTAATTGCGTTGGACTGTGATTTTAAAAGATATAAGATTAGTATGTTAAAAAGCAGGCAAAATAGCTATGTGTTGCAAAAGAATTTAAAATATAAGACCGGGTTTCTTTGGAAACTTTTAAACTTATACAATTAAAACTGTTAGTTAATTAAGACAAATTATTTTTTGCATAACAACACATTTTGCTAAGATAATATAGACAAATTCTTTTTTGTATAATCATACATTTTGCTAAACTGATTAATAAACTAGTTAGTCATACTTTAAAGTTGATTAAAGTAGTGCATACTTCCCTGTATTCTTCTGTGTTAACTTCTTGTTTATTTTTTAAAAAGGCAGCAGTTTATTAAATATGCTAATATTGTGAAAGTGATACGAGTGAAAGCAAAGAAACCGCATTCGATTATGAAATTGTAGATATTTTAGGCTAATTTATTTAAAACAAATATTTATAAATAATTTATAAATATATATATATATATATTTCTTTTGTATAATAAAAATAATAATATATGATTTCTTCATATTTTATTTTCGTTTTTATACTTGCGCTATATTTAATACATTTAAATATACTTTACAGCAATAAACCTGATATATAAAATAATACTGCATCTAAAACTCTTCTATTGGTTCGATTCATAAAAAATGTAAAAAAGATTTATTTGTTTTTTTAATACATGTAACGCTTTTTTTTAATACACGCCTATATTATATAAAAATATATTTAAAAAAAATATATTTAAGAGGTATATATACCAGAATCTTAAAAAATCTATTTGTATTAAGGCCTCTTATAAAAAATTTTCTAATTTCCGAAAAAAATATTAAATCAATTACAAGTTCATAAAAGAGTATGATAGTAAATTATACGAAAACGATAGTAATAATTAAAATTTTAGTCTAAACATTTAAAAAACAATTGTAAAAAAAGAGAATTCTTTGGTTCAAGGTTTATTTAAAAAAAAAATTTCAATATAATTGTCACTATATCTTTATAGCTTAGAGATATCACGGTTATATTTTTAAAATTTATTTTAATTTACAAAGCACAAGAAAAATGAATTACCTAAAGAAGCGCAATAAAAAATGTTATATTTTATTCAACTATTTTAATAAGACAATGTATTAATACTTAAATAGATCTTGCAAATTGCTAAGTTCATTGCAAAATTTTTTATGCAAACGTCAAGATGCTTGAATAAAGAAACACGATGGTTGTGCAAGTTGTTTTTCTGCCATTTTTTGCGTTGCTTGCAAATTATTGGTTTGATTATATCGTAAATAAACTCAACAAAAATCAGATTATACATCTGATAAAATTGGAAAATAAAAGAATAAAGTCTGAATAAAAATAGAGAAACAAACCCAAAACAAAGACATAATAACAAAAACTCACTAAGTAGAGCGCAGACCAACAACGCTGAGCAAAAGATAAAAACTGCAATGTAAAAAACTTGTTTATAAGACTCGTTTGTATTTATAACGTGACACTTTAAAACAAGGTCAGGTATAAGTTTTTATTTTTATTTTTTTAATTGTTTCCTAATTTTAAACTTTCTTTAGTTATAATTGCACTTTAGCAAGTCCTTATAAAAAAAATATATATATATCCTAACTTGTCATAAAAATTAACAAATAAGAAATTAATAAAGTTGATCAAGTTAACTTTTGATTCGTCATTCAATTATGAAAAGTCATTCATTCAAAAAGCATTAAAAAAAATTATTTTCTTATCACCTTAAGATATTTTTAAGCACATTATTAGATTGTCATTAATTTTAAGATTTTTATTATCAATATCTCGTCCCTTGATGATTGTTTTTTTATATTTATATTACAAAATACTTTTGTTATATTTATAACATAAATATTTTTATTATACTTATAATATAAATATATTTTCTACATTCATTTAGTTAACACTTTAATTTAAAGTAAAAGACTGTTTGCAACATTGAAAACGATTATTTATTAAAAACATTTAAAATTGAAAAAGCTATTAAAATATTAATCAAACTTTTTCGGTTTTGGTTACCAAAAAGAAATGATAGTTTAAAAAAAAAAAAAAATGATAGAAGAAATATTTGGAACTTTTAAGAAAACATTTGTTAATTGAAACTTTAACGCAAGAATATTTATTTGAAAAGCAAATAAAATATTTGTAATTGTAACTTCCTTTCTCAAACTTTTACTTTATTCTTTGCAGGTGTTTAAGATCCTGATTTCCTTTTGGAAGAAATAATTTTCTGTTGCTTGTTTATTTTTATACTTTTTATATAATTTTACTTCTAAAACTTATTTTATAAAAATTTTAAATAAAAACAATTTTATTTTGCTTAAAGCAAACTGATGTTATGATGTTTAATTGTGTTATGATGTTTTATGAAGTCAACATTCTTTCTATCAATCATAAACTCGCATTATTTACTATTTTTCAAAATTTTTTTCATAAAATGTTATTGTTTCTAAATAATAATGCAAATTCATTAAAAAACTCATTCATTAAAAAAAAACTTGATTAATTAAAAAAAAAATCAATTCATTCAAAAATGTTCATTAACGTTTAAAAAAATTTTTGTTTATGTAAATTTTGTAATACCTTTTTTAATGATGTTTTACTTTTAATGTTTTTGTGTTGATGTTTTTACTTTTGTCTTTTTAATGATTTTAATAGTATATAAAATCATGATTTTAATAGTTTTTTACATGATTTTAATAGTATATAAAATCATGCAATTCATAAACATAATACAACTGTTACACTTACCAAAAAAATATGCAACTAAATCATTCCTTCCAATTATTTTAAGTACATCTACAAAAGAACTGTAATCATTGGTCCTTAAAAGCATACGTTTTTCTAAAGTTTGAATTAATTTAATCGGAGTTGTAATCTTTTCAAGATCAGCATCACCTATCTCTTTTGAATAATAAAACTTAATTGCTTCAACATCTTTATCCAACAAATTAACTGATATTTTCAGCAAGATATTTTTGTATTTTTCGTTATCCATTACTTCAAAAAATTTAAGGATACTTTAAATAGTTAAATACTTCAGCAATGCATGTATTCTAAAATAAATGTATGCTAAAATAAATAACTTTTTATAATATAAACATATAATATATTGAATTTATTATTAAACAATAAAACGAATAATATACTAGTAATATTTAATATTTGTGGACAATTATTAATATTAACTGTCATTAATTTTTTTGCAACTATTAACAATAACTGTAAATAAATTTTTATGTATATTTCACAAATAACATAGCAGACCAAATGGGAGGGGTGGGTAGAAAAAAAAAATGTGAGAGGAGATTGGAAACAAACCTCGGACAATCCATGTATGAAGTAAACGCCCTATCCAAGTAAGGCAAGAGTGTATATACTATAAGTACAAATAAATATAAATATATGGTAAAAAAAGGTATACATAAAAGTATACACATGCATTACATAGATGTTTTTATATAAGGACAATGTACACTTGTTACATTAAAATTATACAAAATATATTTTACAAACTGATAGCAATTTATATTTTCACCTTTCTTTATAAAAAAAAATTCATCAGTTGTTTGTCCTGGTTGCCAAAAAAATCTTTACAGAATTAAAGAGAGAGACTCACCTTATGGTGAATGGGGAGCTAAGGTTACCAAGGTATATTTAATGATTTTTTAGTTTCATTTTTTGTTCTTATTTTTTCATTTGTTTGTTTAGAAATGAGTTTATTTATTTAGATAGTGGAAAACTCTTTTGAAAAATAGCTTCAATACCAGTCTAACTCTTCGAGATAAAATAACTAATTTACTGACAACTGAGTCAAGTATATGTGTTCCTTTTGCTATACATTACCTGCACCTGGTTATTCTCATAACTGTACACCCACCAGGACTGTGGCTTATTTCATTACATTTTCATTGCTTCTAGGTTCTATTCAAGCTGAATAGATAAGAAAAACTATATTTTGTTTATAAGTTTTTAGTTCTTTATGCAAATTTCATTTTGTGAAAATTTTTTGTAGGTTGCTTCTGGAATTATGAAAAGTAAAATGGCAACAAAAAATTTGATTGACGGATCAATGTCAATCAATGTCAATCAAGGTCAAGTTTTGTTTACCTACAGTAGGAAATACGCACAAAGTCACAGTTGGCACACCAGAAAACAAATCAAAAAGAACTTCTATTAAGCAGCTTTCTATTGAAATAATAAAGCAATTACGAATTGTGTTAGAACTTATAAACATATAATATAAATATAAACAAAAGAGATATAAATAAATATAGCGTATGTAAATATAAACAAAAGAGATGCTTTCTACTTTACGCAAAGGTTTAGGAAATAAACTTTCCATTGAGCCAAATATTTTTGGTCGTCTTTCTGAATTAGAAGAATATATTTCTAATTACTACAGTGTGCATAAGTGCGAATTTGTTGATAGTAAAGGCCATTTTATTTTACAAGATCTTGCATATGTTCAAAATACATCAGATTTTGTACTTGTTTAAAATTATGTGGTTTAGACCCTACTTCAGCCTTTATAAGGATTTCATTGGATGGTGGAGGTTTATTTTTTAAAGTAATCATCATTATCTTTGATTGTCAAAAGGATAATGAGTTAGTTATTTAGTTTTTAAGTACTTAAAAAGTGGCGTTTCAACAATCTCAATTTTCAGCTATTGTTGAAGATATTCCTGAATCTAACTATAATTTGAGACTTGTTATAGAAAAATTAAATTTGTAAGATGCCAGTTTTTATGTTGTTTTTGACTTGAAATGTGGAAATGTGCTGTTTGGTTTGTCAGGACATTCTGGGAAAAAGCTTGCTTATGGTGTGAAGGAATATCTACATTAAATTTAGGGACAAATAGAATATATACTAATAGACAAATATACTAATAGACACATATACTAATATACTAATAGACAAATACTAATAGACAAATAGCCAAACTAGCTTTATTTAACATAAGAGGTAATTTAAAGAATTGGATTGCTGCATTTCTTAACAATAGGAGTCAACAAGTTAAGGTTGGAACTTCATTATCAAACCCAACTTGCATTGTTAGTGGAGTTCCTCAGGGCAGCGTGTTAGGCCCAACATTATTTTTACTATATATCAATGATATAACCGCTATAGTCAACTACCTTGATTGCTCTTTAAAACTTTATGCCGATGACATCAAGTTATACAGTTCATTTTGCAATACGGACCATAGCCATTATTTAGCTATTGCTCTTAATAGTGTAGTACTTTGGTCAGAAACATGGCAACTACCTATTTCTACCAGTAAGTGTTTTGTTCATAGGATTGCACCTGCTTCATCGAGAAAATTTGTTAACTTTAACTATAAGTTAGGAGATCATATTTTAGCTTGGTCTTTTATTCCGAAAGATCTTGGTGTAACTCTGGACTCTCAACTAAACTATAAAAAGCATATCTCAAACATTGTACATGCAGCTAATACTAGAGCATATCTTATTTTAAAATGCTTCAAGTCTCACGATTCTAGAATCTTAGTAAAAGCCTTCAATACATACATTAGGCCCATATTAGAATATTGCTCCCAGTTTGGTCACCATATCATGTTGAACTAATAAAGGTTGTTGAGAACGTGCAAAATTTAACCTACGATAACCGACTTCAGTTGCTTGATTTGGAGTCGCTTGAGTTAAGGCGAGTAAAGCATGATTTATCAATTTGCTACAAAATTCTGCATAACTTGGTCTTAATTGATAAATCTATGTTCTTTCTTTTTGACAACAAAAACAACATTCGGGGGCATAAGTATAAATTGCACAAACAACATTGTCGACTAGATATTCGCAAATTTAGTTTCTCTTACCGAGTTGTCAACATCTGGAATCAGCTGCCTTTCGATGTTGTTAATGCCGATATCAACATCTTTAAGAGGAAAATTAACTCAATCAATTTTGAAAAGTTCTGTCGGCGTTAATAGATTATTTATTCAATGTTGTACGCCGTTACATAATTTATTTATTTATTTATTTTTTGTGGGTGGGCACGCTGTTAGTGTCTATCAATATTGGACCTGCGTGTCCTTTAGAACATGTATATTATCTGTTCTAATAAATACAAATGCAAATACAAACTTTTGGCAGTATTGATTATAGGTACAATAAATATTTAGAAAATAACTCAGTAAAATCATCCATGCAAGAGTTTATGAACTGCATCAATCCTCGAATTTTGTATATTAATTTGGATCCAAATACCTTATTTGAGCAACTCGTTTCTCCACCTAAACTTCATTTGTTAATTAGTTTTGTTTCACTGCTTGGAAATTTTTTGTTTGATGTCTGGCCAGGATTTGATGATTGGCTTAAGACAAAAAATGTCAACCAGGCAGAGGCTGGGACAGAAATAATTTAAACAAAATATTAGCAAACCTGGATTCTCTTGAAACACAAATTTTAGAAACATTTACTAGTTTGATTTCAATTGTTCAGTGTTTGAGAGATTTTAGAAATGTAAAAAATTGTTTCTTTTTTAGCAATTTACAAACTGGCTTTAAAGAAGCAATAACAAATTTAAAGAATTCTTTTCTTTCCGCACAAGTACTTGCAATATATTTAAATAAACAAATAAATACAACATGGAAAGTCCACATTCTACTGTGTCATGTATAGCCATATGTGGAACACCATAACAAAGGATTGGGTAACTTTGCTGAACAAAAAAATGTGGAGAACTTTCTCCACATTTTTTTGTCATTCATGCAAAGTTCTTATTATACTGTCACATATAGAGCATTATAGTGTTATGTTATTGTGTTTAAAAGTTTAGTTTTTTTAAATATTATAAATTATTTTTTACAATAAATGTTTGTATTAGGCAATAGGCTGTTATGTTTTGTTGGTATATACTGCTTGTAACTTCCCGTCTTTACTTATATATTAAATTGTTGTTTGAAAACTAATATTGACTTTTTAATATTATATAATTACTTTATTATTGTAATAATTGTTGCTTAACTTATTAATATTATTGCTATTATTATTATTAATATTATTATCATTGCTATTGGTATTTAAAATTTATTTTTTCTATTAATTTTTAACTTACGATTTATCGTATGTAAAAAACAAATACTAATCTATTTATTTTAACATTTTTCTTTACTTTATTTTACTACTCTGCAAGAGTTATATGATATAACAACATGAACTATTCACTATAATATAATTCACAATATACAAAAACAAAGAACAACAAACAACAACAAAAACAAAAAACAACAACAACAACAACAACATTAACAACAACAACAAACAATGCAAACAATCCACAAAATTACATTATAAAATAAAAACATTACTTATTACTGTGTTCGGTTGTCCAAACAAGAAAACAAAATGTTCTTAACTCCAAGAGTTTTTAAGGGATCGTCCAAAAATTTCGCAACGCTAAATATATTTAAAAAACAGAAGTAGGAAATCTTAGCTCTTTTACGCGGCGATTTTCATTATACTAAAGCGTTGCTTTGATTTTTTATTTAACTTAAGGCTCTGCGAGGGAAAACTTTTTACCTTTCTTGTTTTGTAATTTATGGACGTAATTTATGGACGATCCCTAAAGCTTGGTTTCCAATAGTTGTAGAAATGTTGTGCAACAGTTATGCGTTTTTGTTGTACAACAATTGTTGCTGAAATAGGTTTAATTCTATCTCCGCAACATTTGTTTTAAATTTTGTTGAGCAACCGACGTTAAGTTGTGAAACTTACACAAGAAAATGTTTCCATTATAAAGCATTATTGCTGTGCAATTGTTGTACGACATTTCTACAACTATTGGAAACCAAGCTTAAGTTAAAAAATGTCACTTTCACGGCAATTGTTTTGTCACAAATGTTTACCTTTCATTTTGCAATGTTGACAATTTTGACAAGCGCATATTAATTGCATAGTAGTTGCATATAGTAGGTTTGAGCATTTTTGCGGGCAAATCTTTTCTTTTGGTTGATGTCCAAATTATAAAACGCAACCCGGTGGGAAATCGGCTAACGAATAGCTAGCTATAATTGTTACGATAAGGACAGCGATTTGGCCACGAGGACCGCTAGCTTTTTTAAGTTAGCGAAAAGCTATCAGTATTTTTTAAGATAAAGACAGCGATTTGGCTACGAAAACAGCTAGCTTAATAAGCTAAAGATCCACTGGCCATTGTACCTAGCGTCATATCATAATAAAATCGTTGTCTAAAAAATTTTGATATGTAGCTATCAACCATCTATAGATTTGTAGATATTTTGAGGCTAGCTACAAAGCTACGATATGTAGCTAGCGACACATTGCTACAAAATCGCAATGTTTAAAGTTCAATTATTTTCATAGTTATAATAGACTCAACACTAAAAATCGAATTTTTAAAGATCTTAAAGACATTTGCAAAAATTAAAATAAGAAAAAAAAAATCGCTAGAAAATCGCTATAGAGCTAGCTAGTCGCTAGCTAGTCGCTAGCTAGTCGCTAGCTAGTCGCTAGCTAGTCGCTAGCTAGTCGCTAGCTAGTCGCTAGCTAGTCGCCAGCTAGTCGCTAGCTAGTCGCTAGCTAGTCGCTAGCTAGTCGCTAGCTAGTCGCTAGCTAGTCGCTAGCTCATTTCCCACCGGGAATGTACCGTAAAACTTTGATAATTTGGTGACTTAGATAATTTTTCCTGTGGTAGTTACAAAAGTATTGATTTAGAGAGGTAGTTGCAAAATTAGAAACTTTTTTTCCAGTACATTATTATATTCTGCGTATATTTTTGAAATATTTATGATTGTGAAGTGATTTTAACTTGTGCAAATGTGATGGAATTAACATCACTTAAACAACAAAATAATGATTTTTGCATGTACCAAAAAAATGCCAAAAAACATATGATTTTAATTTTTTGAAATAAATTTTTTTCTAAAAATCTATACTTAGATGTTCACGTAGTATATTCCAGTTATAATACCACTTTAATATACCACCTCATTTTTGGTTACTCCTAATTACATTTGCAGAAAATTCAAAACAATTTTGTTTTTCACTTTTTTAAATAATTTGCAATATTTGATATTTCAATCTTATTGTGAATATTTTATGATTCAGACGTTTTTTCCTAAAACGCAGAAAATGAAAATGAAAATGAAAATCAAAACGCAGAAAACGTTGCACAAAATTCCTGGAGCTATGCATAAGGCATAACCTAAACGCAGAAATTTTTTGTGGAATTTAGTATAAGTGTTAATGCGTGGAGTGCTGCTACATCGATTGACAAATAGCCTGATTCGCAACGAAGTGCTGCTAGATCGACTGAGAAATAGCCTTGCAATGGAGTGGTGCTACGTCAACTGAGAGTTTGGTTTGGGCAGGCAGTCTATCAAATAATTAAAAAAAAAAAAATTCAAAGTCCGAATTAGTTCCCATTTCCATTTTCCATTTTCTGCGTTTTAAGTGAACCCATTTCAAACTTTATTTCTAGTTAAAAAAGACATCAAAACACAAAGTATCACAAGAAGAATTGCAGTAGAATTCATGAGAACTTATAAACGTAAACCAAGTAATCGATCCTATGCATTGTATTTAGCAGAAGCCATGCAAAATGTCTTGTTAGATATCTCAACTAACAGAATATCGATTTTTAAGGCATCTAAGTTTTATAGTATACCATATGGTACTCTGCACAACAAGAGTAAACTAAAACATATGAAATAATTTGAAGGGCAGACCTGATTAGAGTCCCATAACAAAGAAAAGATTCTACAAGTTATAAGCATCCTGACAGATTTACCTTTTGATAAGTTGGATTTACCTCTTCTAGTAAAAGGCTATCTAGACAGAATGGGTGTTACTGATTTAAAATTTAAAAATAACTTGCCAGGACTTAATTGGATAAAATCCTTCATTGTTTGCAATAATCTGGCTTCTTGAATAGTACGTTCATATTTCGATGAGTTATCCATTACCCTTCAAGACATTCCTAATACCAATATATTCAACTATGATGAGACAAATGTTGGCGATAACCCAGGCTCTAAAACAGTAGTTTTTAAAAGTGGCCTTAAACGCGTAGAAAGAAAAATACAGCATTCTAAAGGAGCTATTATTATTATGTACTGTGGGAGTCCACCCGGTCAGTTTCTTTTTCCCATGGTTGTTTATAAAGCTGCAAACTGCTACATAGAGTGGACAAATGGTGACCCACCTGGAACTATATTCGAAAGTTTAAAATCTGGTTGGTTCGACTCATTTGAACGTTGGTTTAGGGAAATTCCAGAAACAGTACCTCTTACAGGAACTAAAGTTGTTATTAGAGATAATTTAACTTCACAATTCTCATCTAATATCATCAAACCATGCAGGAAAATATTATTCCGGTTTACATGTTTAATCCCAAATGCCACACCTCTGCTACAACCGCTTAATATTGCTGTTTTCAGATCCTTGAAAGTTGAGTGCAAGAAGATTTTACAAACATCGAGAAGAGATTTAAGGGTTCAATTCAAAAAACCAATTTCCAGCGCTCTTGGCAAAGTTGCAAAATGCTCTGAAAGCAGACAACTTAAAAGCGGGATACGAAGCTTGAGGCATATAACAATTGTATCGATAAAAAGTACTAAAACGGCTTCCAGATGTCAGCAAAGACTATGGTGGTGATAAAAGAAATATTAAATAAGGGTATAATAGATATTCTCACGAAGTATTGTGGCAATGATGCAGCAGGAAAAACCAATAAAAAAAGAGGGAAAAAAGTTGCACAAGAAAAATTGATCACAAAAGATGACATTGATCATGCAAACATCAAAACAGAGAAAATCAAAAAAGCAACAAATGTTGTTGTAAAACCTTCAGGAAATGTGATTTTTAGGTTTTTTTGTTTTGGTATCTTTTTTTTTATTTTAAATGAAGTTAAACAACTAAAGTACATTAGTACTTAATATTTATATACGATTAGTACTTTTTTATTTTAGTATTATTTATTATAACTGCTAATTACAATTACTTTAATGATGCTGTTGATATATTATATTGTTATGTTTAGCATATTAACACCAAATTGTTTTTGTTTTTTTGCCCATTCTGTGGATATATTCTATAACAAATCTTGTTGTCTTAATTTATAATTTTACCAGTAAAATCTTAAAAATATATTTTTATATTGCGTTGTACTTTGGTGAAACTCCAAAAAAAAAATTAATGGCACTTGTGAAAATTAATTATTAAGTTTTTAAGAAACAATAAACTATCAAAATCCCCAACGAAGGATTGAGACTTATATCATTTTTAAACTTAAAAATATATATATTAGAACCTAAAAAAAAATTATATTTAATGGAATCCTATAAAAAAAAGGTAAAATGTTATATCGAAATAATAAAATTCAAAAAAAAATTTATTTTAATTCTATAGCTTTGATAAGAAGGAACGTATTAAGACTATGGGGAAGGACGCCTTTTTTTTGGCAGTTAGACCACGTCCAACTACATTTATAATTCATTTTTGAAAAGAAAGGCCATTAGGAAAATTGAGAGATTATTTACCTATACCTTTGTTTACAAAATTAAGTATTATACTTTTAAAAAAAATTGTCTTATTAAAAAATATTAAAGTAAATAAGAAATAAGCGTAGAAACGATTGGTGTGAAATAGGTAAGTATAGAAAAAGTCATGTTTTTATATTTTAAATAAAATATTTTATTGTATTATAAAATGTTACATCGAAATAATAAAATTCAAAAAAAAAAATTATACGAAAGAGTTTATTTGCAAAAATGCTCAAAAACCTATCAAAGTCACCCGGTAATTTTTAAGACGGTAGTTTTTAAACGTTAGTTTTTAATATTATTGTAATTCACTGTTTTGTGCTACGTTAATAACTATATTGTAATTCACTGTTTTGTGCTACGTTATTTTTTTATTTTATGTGGGCAGAAGCAATCCCACAAATAAAATCAATGGGGTGAGGGGGTAAATCCTTAAAAAGTACCGACTGGCTTTGTAAATATATATATATATATATATATATATATATATATATATATATATATATATATATATATATATATATATATATATATATATATATATATATATATATATATATTTACAAAGCCAGTCGGTACTTTATATATATATATATATATATATATATATATATATATATATATATATATATATATATATATATATATATATATATATATATATATATATATATATATATATATATATATATATATATTAGGGTGATTCAGATTGTAATAGAAAAAAAAAATGTCACAAAAAACATTCTCCTCAAGATTGCCTGTGTTCCTTTATCACCTAGGATCATGTGTACCAAAAATTAGACTAAAAGAAGCAATTTTAGGGGCTGCCATGTTTTATAAGATGAATTCACCATTGGTAAAATTTTGTGATTTTCTCAAATTTCGCAAATTTTTTTTTCATTGTTTATTTA